TAATTCCACTCTACGGCAGATCACGATCCGCCGTTTGATAGTCACAGTTGTAATGAATTAATTAGATACCCTAGTCTCTAAGCTTGTCTAAAGTCACCCTAGCAACATACAACATCACTCTACAGCAGATCTTGATCCGCCGTTCACCTTGTTCCATTGTTTTGTCGCATCTAATTAGGGTTAATTTGTCCGATCCGCAATCCGCCATGATCCGCCTGGCGTTGAACCGCTATTTTGTATACTACTAAAATATTTGGACGCTAGTTTCTTTGATATGCGAACACATCCTGGCATTGGAAACAAAAACAAAAAAGATATAGTATTTATAAAAATGTTTGTATTTCTTTTGTAATGCGCATGCAGTAATTTGTTGACTCCAGTGATATCTGTTGACGTAGCGAATACATGGTCATTCATATGTGGACGCTTGTGTACTTTTTCCATACGGTACGTGGGCGAAGGTATTTTGTTTCCCGATTAAAAAAATCCTGAAACAAAAATCTGTGGACTCATAAGTGTGTAGACGGGAGCTAAGGCATACGAAGTAATATCTCACCATCTTCTATATAGAATTTTTTCGTATTTTTAAAACAGCGTGAATTGTATGTAATATATACAATATGAGCGTCCGATCTGTATTGGGAAATACAATGGCGAGCCAATACTCTTACCTTATTGTATGTACTTATGGTTCTCTCCATGTTCATTATGTAAAATCCATCATCTTGTTCCTAGGAATATATATCTTATATAAATTACAATTATCTAATTAAAATAAGAGTATTTTCTGAATCTTTTTTTTGTGGTGACGTCAGTTCGTGAGAAGCGAACTTCTATTTTAAAGAAGTCACCTTGGCTTGGGAAAGACTAAGTGACCCCGCTTAATATCGGCATTGAAGACACTTCAATATGATTTGTCCAATACCGTAGCGTATGGTTGATTAAACAGATAACTGAATATATTGATTGTCAATACTTTGAATAGTTTTGACGGCGTCATTTTTTTGGGGGGAGAGGCAAAGTCGTATCAGACAATCTGGTAGAAACTTGATTTCTATGGTCTTCCATATATGGTCACGATCGATTAACTAAARCAATAGACTGGTGTGATTCAAAATCACAGCGAAACAAAAGAGATTCATTAATWTGCGGATTTGAGCTGAATCTCGAAATGGACTCATTTGACCCTGAAATGCTCGGGAATACTTACTGGGGGAGGGGATGGGAGATTCATGTTTATTAGTGAAACATACTCCATTTTGTTCATACTAACCCATCTAAACATTGAAATCAATAACCAATCTACCCGTAAATGCTAAAAAGTCGGAAAAGTCTAAGAGCGAAGAAGACACAAAACAGAGTGTCGGATAAAAATCATTCGTTATCAATACAGTGCACTGCAATGCAGAGGCTTGCTCTATAACGAAAATGTACTTTTAAGATCCTACTTTAGTATATTCTGAAATATAAACAATATGGTATTAAAAGTGATAGTCAAGTTCTTGAGAATAAAGTTAAATAGTCTCGCAAAATAACAAGAATACAGTGTGAAATGGATGTCACATAATTCCAGTTGAATTCAAATTCTTATTTTCAAACGTTAATCTCAAACGTTAGATACTACGAAAAGGAGTTAACTTGCCAGTTTTGAAAGAACTAGTTGATCTATTCATTTCTTCAGTTATTATTTCCGGGGTCATCCCCCAAAAGTGGCAAGCTAACTTCTTTTTGCGGTATCTAACGTTTGTAATTAATGATTCTTTTAGAATTGGAATTCAACGGGAATTATTGGACTTCGATTTCTCACTGCATCCTTCTTATTTTGTGGGACTTTACCTACTTCAAACAACTAAAATGTTGTCGAAACCATCACAGCTTGATTTATTCAAGCTAGAGCGTTTAGTAGAGTGCAAGTCACATAAGCATGAAACAATTCTTAACTATATATGTAGTGCTAAATAAGATTTAGTTATCAACTAACTAAGAATTGAGAACAATGCTACAAAGGAATTTGAATAATTGGCATTGTGTTTATGCTTTGTTGAATTCTTAGTTAGTTGATAACTAAATCTTATTTAGCAATACATATTAAGAATTGTTTCATGCTTATGTGACGTGCACTCTAAGCAGCTAGTGCTTAGCGAAGAAATGTTTTATTCATGTTCTCACTATGCATAAAACCATTTTGTATGAATTTCCACAGGAAGACAACCAGCTGTAATTTTGCTTACCTCTCTTCGCGTGGTTTGGATTACAAAATCAGTCAAAGTCTCAAACGGTATGTCATCTTCTGCAACAATCAGGGTCCCTGCCAGAATAAAAACCGTATAAACTCCGCAAATGAGCAAAAGAATGTRCAATACTTTTAATGACATTGCAGCAGTATAAACCTACGTTCGATAGATTGTCCTGGTAGGCCAAGTACGTTCGAAGAAGATGGATTCGTTTCCATTTTTGAACTCCAAGATTGCGTGAGTAATCTGAGGTTATTGGAGGTGATCGAACAAATTATGCAACTGTGTCGCTCACTCCGAGGCCAGACAATGTAAGGAAATTGTCCATGCATGTCACAGTTAGATTTTTTTCAGATTTTTTTTATTGCACGTATATGTGAAAAAGTGAAATGTTTCAAAGGTAAGGTTTTGATGAATTATATACGAACACGTTTTTATCCAAAGATTATTTATACTTAAAATTCGATTAGAAATATATTTAATTGATTTTTCCTTTCATTGCGGCCAGGATGAAAAGTTTGCCGGTTCGCCAAAATGTATTTCGGAACGAAACCGTATTCATAATTCCGATCCAAAAAAATATATTGATCGACTATTTTTAATGTAGTACTATTCTATAACATGTTGCGTTCAGAATTCACTAATTGGTCTTGGCCATAAACTATCTKAAAAACCTAGAYCACTAAAAGCTTATTTATTTATTATCACAGATCTAACAGTCTTTGTTTTTTTCTCCCGTTACTTCCCGGTACGGTAGATCATTTCCATTTTCTGTACAATCATTTCTCATAAAAGGTTGCAAAATGGCGGTTTGGGCACGGATTTTACTTGCCTCAGGAGAGCTCATGGCTCAGGAAAATCAACTGGCTCGATAAAACCAGCATTTCTGCAGTGTTAAGTTCTTAGTTGACAGCTGTGCAAAGGCACATTGCGATAGGAGTAGAATTTCGACGAAAAAATCGACCATATTCGATTCCTACCCTGTCATAGATTATATAGTAAGAGGGGTCAAAAATTCATAGAAGTTCTGAAAATCGCTCTAGAGATTACCGGTAACTATAATAATCCACCCAGCAAGTTAAAGAGAAATTTAATGTGCCTTTATGCTATAAATCGAGTGTTTACATAGACTCRCATACATTCTCTTATAGCAATTAAAGGGCTACCCGTGTACCTAGCACACATYATAGGCAAAATCACAGCTGCCAAGGCTGTTTGCAAAGCCCCTCTACATTACAGGGCTCTCCAACACCAAAAGATCCGCCTTAACTTACCTTACCCGTCTAAACTTAACTTACCATGGTAGCTGATCGACGCCTGAGACTTTCCATTCTGCTAGGACCAAACAGTTTTTTTGGACAAGCTGATAATGGTTGCCTAGAGRTTCGGTTAGGTCCTGATGGCACCGTTACATGACTGGATTGCAAACCAGAAAAACGTGTGGAGACCATGCCTGATCTATCCTATTTTAATAGGATAGATTACACCTAAGTTTGAAAAAAAATTGAGTTCAGTTGCACTTTAATTCTTCTTGAGAGCGACCTGACCGAAAACTCTGAAATTAATGAAAGAATGTTTCCAGSAACTTTGCTAGCTGARCATTGTACAAATGATAACAAAGAAGTGTGCAACATTACTTAACATAATGACAACAACTGAAAGTATTAGAGAGTTTAAGCATCACGTTAACGGCAAACGGCAGAGCTGAAACAATGACCTAAGAATTTCGTGCCCGACCTTGTGCTTTTGTTAGTCATTTAAAAGAACGGCTTTTCACGATTATGGCAACCTCAAAATAACCCGCTCTCGCGTTGAAACTGCAATGTTAAACTTCAAAAAAGCAGATCACGTGATCTTTTCTGCCGTTTGCCGTTTGCAGTGRACGTCATAGTCCATATCACAAGCTCGCCATTTTGAATGGTTTTGCAATATATCATGGGATATATATCTCTCTTTCTTCATCAAAACACATCGCTAAAAAACACTAATTAGTTTCGATTTTTCCACAGAMAACATATGTTTGTTTTCATTTTTTAATTTTTGCCTAGAAAATGAAAATTCTTTATTAACTGTACGGCCCTATACATTTTTTGGAGGTTTTTCTTGCTGTATCTCCTTGCATGTTGATATTTGTTTGTKTCTTCGCTTCTGAGATTAACKACAATATCAAAATTTCCCAAAGTTTTCGAAAACTGAGTCTACGTTACAGACAACTGGAGCACTGACATCGTTGTTAACTTGTTTACTCATGTATCAATCCCAAAATGCACTGCGTCACAAGGCTTTCCGCGGGTTGCGATATGRACTATGCTAACCCTCTCTATTAGCTCAATTATAGATGAGACCACAGCGTACCACATCAATTCTATSAAAAATTGACCCCGAGTTGTGTCATGTCAGAAGAAGATTACTTTAAAATCTTATAAAACTCATTAATATTCATAAGGCAAAACACAATAGAAATCATAGCCCATGAAGAGAGTTGTATATTACATACAGATCGCCCGCTCATATTGTATATATTACATACAAAATACAAAACATGAAACTTGGTGCATCCAAAGTCAAAATAGCTGCACACGGGGTTAATAAAAATTGAAGACCTTGGCACATGCCAATTTTACATACATCATACTGCAACAATGATACCAGTGGGATTCAACATTACCAACGTGAAGGGTTTCACTATGATGATAGTGGGAACTAGYGGTAAACTAGTGTGAGCTGCGTCGGTGTTTCTAAASAAACAGTTATGTAAAAAGATAAATTTAACACCGTAAAATAGTATGTGAAATAACTTACTGACGTTTCGGACGTTAATCCTTCGTCGGAGTAAATCGGACGAAGGATTAACGTCCGAAACGTCAGTAARTTATTTCACATACTTTTTWACGGTRTTAAATTTATCTTTTTACATAACTGTTTCACTATGATAGCTTGCGTATCATCACGTGAACTAGGATTTGTTAAATTTAATTGCACCTTAAGAGGTCCATCCTCCATCCTCGGAGATAGCTTGCAACACTTAATACTCCACTGCCAGACTTGACGAACAAGCTTACTCATGGGACAAGAACAAGACCATGCTTTCAGTAACGTGAAAAAAGTAGTATCGACTCTCCGTGACTCAGATACTTTTTATCCAAAGTCAGAAACTGTTGAATGACCAGGAGTTGTTGTCGTTGCTGCTTCTGCTCGGTATGCCGGTCGAAATGGATAATCTGTAGATTCAAAACGTGTCGACGCAGTCTTCGCCCCGGGCCGTCGCCGCGTGGTAACGAATTCCCCTCGTTCGCCATTATGAAGTCCCTTAGGTGTTACGGATCTACGAAGCGTCAGTACGGCTTGTGCTATGCGTTCAACATCTTCTTCGGCTACGTTGTCAGTCATACTTAACACAATAAATATAACTAACTAATATAAGGTGAAGCGATAACCAAAATACTTAAGTAACAATGCGCTTAAGAACTAGGGAACTCTCTATTGTTCTGCGGCATTGCAACTTTCCCACGTACGAATGTCTTGGTTTTCACATTGATTATATATCAACCTATGGGTAACACATTTTTAAAATAAAATGTTGATAAACTCTATTTTGAAACAAAGTTTTTTTTGTATTAAAAGCTTTTATCCAATCATGAGCACTCAAAACAACAGCCAAAAGATGCTTCTAATTTGCTATGTTCCCCACGTAGAATTGCCTTAATCTTGAAGCTAAAGAAAGCTTTTCTGAAAGTGAAAACAGACATCAAATAAAATATTAGAAATTGCGCTAACTTGTAAAATTATAGCAGATTTTCATGTTTTAACCAATGGGATGGATGGATTATGCAATACACAATTAGCACCTTCTTGCATTCCTTTGCCGTTTGCTTCCCTAGTTCTTACTTGGGGCATTACTTACTTACTTACTTACTATAATAAWAATAGTGGTACACAATAGAAATGCTGACAAGCGTATAAATTATCAATTGCAAGGCACTAGTATATATTATAAATATACAAATAACAATGAGTAATTGTCTTACCAATCACAGCAAAGAGAACTTCCGTGTAACAAATTTAGTAGATAGCACACAAACACTCTTCCCTCCCACTTATGTGTACAAAAGGGCATAGGAAAAGGCGGACAACGCTGAATCGAAAGTGGAACTACTGTGATACCACTCCAACAGGCAGCAAAATAAAGACAACTAGACGCTCTTGGAGCGTGAAGTCGGACTAGCTGTTTTTGAAAATTGAGAAAGACAGTAAAAATATATATTTATGTTTTTTCCAAAATAGTCGAACTCACGGTCTAATAAGGAGTCTAGTTCAAAATATGCAAAATTCCTTGACCTAAAAGGTCATGTAAATAACACCGATATGAATGTTTTAAAAGAGTCCTCGCTTGACTGATAAAATCAAACGTGGTAGACAAAATGTCGCTAAGTGATATCATGACATATAATACGTTGACCTCCCAGGCCAAGAAAATAAATACTTATCAGGGTCCCAWAAGAAGAAATTATTCTCAAATCGGATTGGCTGATTTCTAACAAAAGGCAATAAACATGTTGAATCTACGGGGGACAGGCGGGGGAGGGTACAATCGAAAGCAACCAATAGGGCGTCAGCCGCTTTGTGAGTTGACGTGTTCGAGCTAAATGCAATTAACTTCGTCGACTGAAATTAAACTGGTATTTTCAACAATAACACTGTGAAGCACTGATTGCTGCATTATGTAAAATTGAATGGAGCTCTAGTTGAGCAAGAGAAAACAAARGAATTAGCATAAAACTGTTTAAAAATAGTGTAACGACCTTTTTACGAATGCAGTGTTTTATTAAGGCTTTAAATTAAGGAGAGCAAGTTTTCCCTGCGAGAGCGGCTGACGCCCTATTGGTTGCTTGCGATTGTACCCTCCCGCGCCTGTCCCCCGTAGATTCAACATGTTTATTGCCTTTTGTTAGAAATCAGACAATCCGATTTGAGTGTCTTTTGGGATCCCTGTGCCTCCGGACCAAATACGTTGTAGTCGGCATYACTTTAGTCCGAATATTAGAATTCAACGGCCGATAAAAATCCAATAAAAATAACGGCTTCCCGAAAAGCAATTCATTGACGAAGAGCTTCGAAAGAATCCTTGGACATTCATGTTTATTGTGGAGCAGTTAAATGTGGACAAAAGAATGGATTTTGACAAAAAAATCGAGTGCAAGTAGAGTTACTGTTGGAAATCTTTGAGGCCAGTCTCCAACCTTGTATTAATATAAGTAGGTTAAACAATGGCATATCAAACATGGCGTAAAACCTC